ATAAAAATATTACTTAAGCTACTCATTATAATAATATAAATTTACAGGTACCAAATCTAAATAGGTATTACACGCCAAATGCTTAACCAACGTTTTAATACCATGTTAATCTAACATTATTATCAGTAATAATTTATCACTAATAATGTGTAATATTTTAATATTATGAACATTGAGTGCAATAGTGTAACATAGGGTGTCATTTCCAAATGTTTTAACAATTTTAGCCACTTTTGGCACTCAATGATTATACACTAATTATTAAGGTTATTTAATGATATTGATAATATATGTTTACTATTGAATTTTAAAAGTATTTTATACGCAACGTTTTATTGTTTTATGCTCAATTTAAATATTAGTATAATAAATAAATGGTCACCTTCATCAATTTCGGGGTAAAGTATATCGGTGGCCGCCAGTACTTCATTCAGGTAGCCGTTCCCCTCAGCATTATCTACGGCGGCACAGACTTTGAGGGCGTCAGACGTGCCCTCATCAGGACCCTCGTCATTCACATCTCTGGCACATTGGGCCACCTGTGCTAATGGGTCAGTTGTCCATGTATCCTGGTTAGTGGTGCATAGTATCATATAAAATTCGTGGTGGTTGTGATATAGGGACACGTGGTTACGAGCGATACATGCCTGGTTAAAATAAAATATACATTTTGGTAGTAATATGGTTAAAAAATAACGGTCTGAATGTGCACGCCAATTTATATTAATCAATATACACAGCTATAAGTCTGCATGGTAATTATGTTTAGAATACAGTTTACTAAATAATTATTAAAAATAATTTTGAAAATCTATATCTTACATGAAGTCTAGTAGCTATACAAGTGGTATCCCCTTCAGCGCACGTGTACGTAAACTTGCCAGTACCAGTATCCGTATCCCTGGTAGCCCTACCCCATGGTATATAATCTACTTCCACGTTATACTTGGTCTCCCCCTCCATCTCAGGTAACATCAACTCATATAATCCTTTATCATTTCCCTCGGCATTCAATTTAATCAAATCAATAGACTTCGGACTATACGGCGAGTAATACACTTGCACTCGGACTGTATTAGCTGGCACAATTGTGTCATCAGGGACATCTGGATCATCTGTTACATCAGCACACAGTGTTGGTCTTTGGTCTTTCTATAATTTTATAAATTATGTATCAAGGTATTAATTAAAGATATAAATTTATACTAGCTAAATTTACAAACCGGTATCGCTTTGCAGACTTCAAATTTTAATTCAACTAACGCTTTGTCATTACGAATGCTGTTAATCAATACCAATGGATCTGTATCTAGGTAATTTAAAATTATCATGGTTATTATAATTAACATTTATACCAAGGTATACTACCGGTGCTAATAAGGGGGTGGAGCTCATCGGTGGCGGCCAACACTTCGTTCAAATAGCTGTTCCCCTCGACGCTGTCTACGGCGGCACAGGCTTTGAGGGCGTCTGAAGTGCCCTCATCAGGACCCTCGTCATTGACCTGTTGGGCACATACACTCAGTTTGGCCAATGGGTCGGTAGTCCAATCTTCTTGCTCAGTTACGCATAATATCATATAAAACTCGTGGTGGTTATGGTATAGGGACACGTGGTTACGAGCTATACATGCCTGTCCAAAGTTTTCGAATAATTAGTTTAATTGAACATGCTAATTAAATTGATAATTGTATTACGTGCAGTCTGGTGGCCACGCAATCATTGTCATTTTCAGGGCAGGTATACGTAAATTTACCAGTGTCATCCTTATCCCTAGTAGCCCTACCCCATGGTATGTAGTCGACCTCGATCCTATTTTTCACTTCACCCTCAATTTCGGGTAACATTAGTTCGTAAAGTCCTTTTGGATTATCTTGCTTATTTATTTTGATAAAATCAATCGCTTTTTGACTATAAGGCGAGTAAAACACCTGAACCCTAGCCAATAGGTTGTCATCCGGTGGTACGGGTGTATTGGTACAGGGTGCCGGTCTAGATTCATCCTGGTTATCATAGATTATACGACGTTATAAATAACAAAATTAAGTTTAATTATATTTGAATGATACATACGGTGAATGCATTGCAAACAGCGCTTTTCAAATCAGTCAACGCATTAGCACTACGTTTACCATTGATTAACACCAATGGATCGCTTGCTATATAAACAAAAATTAAAACCATTGTAAATTTTTCTAAATACACATACATGGTTACAATGTTACCTTCATCAATTTCTGGATAAAGTATATCAGTAGCTGCCAGCACCTCATTTAAATACCCGTTTCCTTCAGTGTTATCTACGCCGGCACAGGTTTTGAGGGCATCGGACGTGCCCTCATCAGGACCCTCGTCATTCACATCTCTGGCACATTGGGCTACCTGTGCTAATGGGTCAGTTGTCCATGTATCCTGGTTAGTGGTGCATAATATCATATAGAATTCGTGGTGGTTGTGGTATAGAGATACGTGGTTACGAGCTATACATGCCTGGGTAAGATAAAATAAAATAACATTGTTACGTATATAATCCAAATTATATTTATAAACAAAATCAAACATAAGTTTGTGTAATAACTATGTTTATTGTACAGTTTAGAACATTTATTTACCAATGTAATTTAAAAACTTACGTGAAGTCTAGTTGCTATACAAGTGTCATCCCCCTCAGCGCACGTGTACGTAAACTTGCCAGTACCAGTTTCCGTATCCCTGGTAGCCCTACCCCATGGTATATAATCCACTTCCACGTTATACTTGGTCTCCCCCTCTATCTCAGGTAACATCAACTCATATAATCCTTTATCATTTCCCTCGGCATTCAATTTAATCAAATCAATAGACTTCGGACTATACGGTGAGTAATACACTTGCACTCTGACTGTATTAGCTGGTACAATTGTGTCATCAGGGACATCTGGATCCTCTGGTACATCTGAGCAAGGTGCTGGTCTCAGCTCTTTCTATAATTTTAATGAAGTATAATATAATATTTTAATTAAATTAGTTGTTAATAATTTATAATTTATAATAAATTTTACTAACCGGAATTGCCTTGCACACTTCATATCTAAGTTTAGTTAATGCTTTATCATTGCGAACGCCATTAATTAATATCAATGGATCACTCTCTGTAGCAGGGTAAAAGTTTTAAAAGTGTTAATAAATAACTGTAATTTATATGAAAATTGCGATTATAATATTCTAACATTTTAATATTAATAAATAATTGGATCCCATTTCGGTCACTTATGTTTTTAAAAAATTATATATTTTTAATAAATAATACCTGGAGTAATTTCTGGATAGAGTCCATCAGTGGCGGCCAATACCTCATCTAAATAGCCGTTTCCCTCGACATTGTCTTTGGCGGCACAGGCTGTCAGTGCGTTAGCCGTATCGGCATCGGGCACCTCATCATTTACTTCATTCACACATTGGACTACCTGTGCCAGTGGATTGGTTTTCCATGTATCCTGGTCAGTGGTGCACAGTATCATATAAAACTCGTGGTGGTTGTGGTATAGGGACACGTGGTTGCGGGCTATACATGCCTGTGCACAATTTAAAAATTGTATCAATAAAATTGTTACACTATTAATAAAAAAAACAATTAGTGTTCCCATATGCAGATAAAGTTTTAGCATTAATTATATTCAATAAACAGTAAGTTAAGTTTACAGTTTATTTATTAATTGATGTACTAAAGTTTATCAATGTAAATTTTGATAAATTTACATATAACTTGTTAATAGCAATAATCTCTATTATTGTTTGTGACACTTACATGAAGTCTAGTGCCGATACAGTCAGTATCATCATCAGGGCAAGTATATGCAAAACCAGTGTCACCCTTATCCCTGGTAGCCCTACCCCATGGTATATAATCCACCTCGATCTTATTCTTGACTTCCCCTTCAATCTCTGGTAGCATGAGCTCATACAAGCCATCGGGATTATCTTGTTTGTTTAATTTGATAAAATCAATGGCCGCCTGACTATACGGCGAGTAAAACACCTGCACTTTAGCTAGTGGTTTATCATCGGGTGGGACGGGTGTATTGGTACAGGGTTGTGGTCTGGATTCATCCTGGTTATCATAAAATTATAATTAGATTTTAATAACTTATTTATGAATTTTTAAGTGTATTAAACATACGGTAAATGCATTGCAAACAGCGGTTTTCAAATCAGTCAACGCATTAGCACTACGTTTACCATTGATTAACACCAATGGATCGCTATCTATATAAACAAAAATTTTAATTATTAATAGATTTATATAATTAAATAAGTATACAAAGACTTACCTTCATCAATTCCCGGATATAATATGTCAGTGGCTGCCAGCACCTCATTCAGGTAGCCGTTCCCTTCAGTGTTATCTACGGCGGCACAGGCCTTAAGGGCATCGGCTATGCCCTCATCAGGACCCTCGTCATTCACATCTCTAGCACATTGGGCTACCTGTGCTAATGGGTCAGTTATCCATGTATCTTGATTAGTTGTGCATAAAATCATATAAAACTCGTGGTGATTGTGGTATAAGGACACGTGGTTTCGAGCGATACATGCCTGGGTAAAATAAAAATATCTTATATGGCATAGTGACCAAAGCCAATTGTTATTATTACACCGTGTACTAGTCATTTGTCCCATAATTGACTATATATTTTTTAATTAAATTTACATCAATTCAGGTAATGGTAGGAAAATAAATAGTAGTGGGATTGAAAGCCTATCAAATGTAGTATAATTTAAGATTTTAGATGACCTCTTAATAGGCAATGGTGTCAGAGTAAATTAGGTTTGTTGAACATGTCCGATGATTGACCACAACAATTCAAACTTTTATATATCT